AATGCCGGCTCACAGCGTCAGTTACACAGGTGGTTTCCTCGGACAAAAAGTAAGTGGCTTTAATTCTTTGAGAATGAAAACATTTCTAAGGAAGCTTTTCTGTTTTCCCTGGTTACTTTATTATGTGGTTTGATGGAGGAGGCCACATTCAGATTTGAGATTTGGAAGGGTGGGGCTTAAAATAGAGTAAGCTGAACATAATATGCCCACCCCACAAAGCATATCTGTATGTGCTGTAAACGCTGCAGAAAAAGACTTGATGTTGGGAACGTTTCCACAAAAGATGTTACATGAGCTTTTCTTTTTCACGGTAGATTTTCTTGTCTAGAAACAATTTTAAAACACTCCTTCCTATCTTACTTTCAAGAAACTTCCCCAAATGATGCTTGCCTTGTTTCAGAGTGCTTGGGGGAAATGAAATGTCCCTCTTCATGTAGCTGTCTAATACAAATGTAATTTGTACTCACCTTCAGCATTTTTGGTTAATGATGGAAGAGTGGAGCAGCCTATTGTATTATTTAATTTCTATTTGTAAGTATTCTGCCTGCATATATGTCTACATATCAGATCTCATTATAGAGATCTGATGACTTCTTCTATCTCATTATAGATGGTTGTGGGCCGCCATGTGGTTGCTGGGAATTGAACTCAGGACCTTTGGAAGAACAGCCAGCCAGTGAGTGCTCTTAACCTCTGAGCCACCTCTCCAGATGGTGGGGCAGCCTATTGAACTGGGTGTTGAAGGCAAAAACAGCAGCAGCTATCCAGAGCTACCTTGGGAATGAGACTGTGTAACACCTGTGTGCCAGCACCAGATAGACTCAAACAGCTGAGACACAATGGGGATTTGGGCACTAGGGAAAAGAGGAAAAGACAATACCTTACAAAGAAATGAGTGAGGCAGAATAGCCTGCTTCATATATTGCTGGATGAAAATTAATACTTGACTTGAATCCTGATTAGAAATTAGAAAAATCATTGTTGTGTATGTAGGTCTTCTTTTTATTTCTGTAAAATGAAAATCTGCAGTTTACATAAAGATATCAACATTAAATTTTCTAAGAGCTTCAATGATGTACATGGCTACTTTTAACTTGCCAAGAGGAATGAGGCACAGAAGAAGCCTCAAAAATGGGTGGAAAACTCAAGAGCTCAAATGGTCAACTGTGGTCCTGTGTGCGAGTGTCTTGCTTATCTTACCTTGTAAAGTTAGTCTAATTTTCTCCCAGGTTTTACTGTGGGTATTAGTATAAGAAAAGTTTGTACATATATAATATCAGGTCTTTGTCAGCAAGACAATTAAAAACCACAACCAAACAAAACTGTAGACGCCTGGAAGGTAGGATGTTACAGTCATAAGGACACTAGTTTGAACAGCAATGCTTGTTCTAAATTACAAACTGTTAAAGCTTATCTGCCCCATAGCCAATAAAACAGGTATCTTGAGAGTTCTTTAAAGTCTTGTTTTTACAGCTCGCCATGAGGTTTCTTCCTCGTCTTCCAAGCCTTCTCCCATAGCCTAAGTAAGCCACCTTCAGCTACTATATGGAGTGGAGTTATCTCATGTTAAGAGTTTGCTCTTATAGATTTGAAAACCATGTTTTCCCAGGGCTTAATGGGATTATCATGTCATCCTCTTCTGGGGCTCCATTTAGAGCAGAGAGTGAAATAATCAGGGTGCTTTTTAAAGCTCAGTCTTGGGAAGTCAGACATAGCCTGGCAAAGCAACATGAGCATTTTGCCAGAGAGTGCTGACTTGTATGCCACTGGTATTGATGGAGACATTCAACCTCGGGTTAGCTGTTTAGTCATTGAGTGTTCAGTGGCTAATGCAATGGTTCATTCAGTGGACCCATTAGACGATGGCAAGATTATTTTGAAATAGAAAAGACAGAGATGATACCCAGTGTGATCAGCAGGTTTGTGACACTGATGCCTATGAGCTAGGGTCCATCCTCATTCATGAAAATTCTGTAACTGATTAGCACCTGGACCAAGGTGGTATTTTGACTGACACCCACATTCATCATATGAATACACAGCACAATCTTTCAGAATTATTCTTAATTCATTTATTTCAGAATATACACATACATGCCACCCGAAACTTAAATGAAATTTTTTTCTAAAAAAAAGTTTGGGTATTTCATTTCAAACATGTTTTTAATTCCTATTTGAATACCTTTGCTGTTTTTAAAAGATACATGTCTATGTCTTCATTTATTAAAATTAATTTATCTTAAGAGTTCTCTCCTGTTTACAGTCTTGTTCTCTTTTTACTCTCTTCACAGAAAGATGGATAGTTCTACTGTGGCCAGCTGGGTTGGGATCCCCAAAATCTAGAAGTCACCTAGAGCTAGATAAGAAAGAAGAAGCAGAAATGACTTTGTTAAAGCACTTGCTGGTCCCATCTTGTCAACCTTTCTAATTCCCAAGAATATAGCAACAGAACTCAATACTTGCTCGTTTGTCTTGGCTGATGTGTGATGCACACACATTGAGTCAATGTGATGTGAAGAGTTTGTCTTGATTCCTTTTGGCTGGTTACTGCATTGCATGTCATGATTATTTAGGGCATTTGGTCGGATCCTCACTGGCAGCTGAGTCAGACCCCTCAGATTTTATGACCTATAAAGCCGTTTGCTGAGCATACCTTTGCTTTTCTTGACCTTGAGCTGTGTAAGACGGTAGGAAGGTGTTGGTAAGCATCTGTGATGGTCTCTACAAACCCCCTGTTCCATGGTTATTTCGTCCATTCTAGAGAACTAACCAGGTATACTACCCCACAGTGACCGTGGGTGGGGCCCTCTGGTCTCCTGCCCTTCGTACATGAGTCATGCATATGTCAGCTGAGTAGTGAGTGGTCACATGTGCTGGAAAGTTAGGGCACCTGGAAGCAGGACTAGGTATGGAACACAAGAATAAGGACACAGGGTGTAGTTTGAATATAACAGTCAGACTTGGAGAAGAGAGCAGACTAGTCTGGAGGACATGAACTCCATGTACATGTTAAAGAGGAAGAGGGTAATGAGACAAACTATAATTTTAAGTCAGGAATCTGCTCCCTATAGGGTCTTCAAAATCACCCCACTTTTCAGAGAATCAAGAGGCCAATGTGGTGATTATTCAGGAAGCACCCAAAAAAAGTTCCACTTAATTGTTGCCTATTTGTACCTACTTTGCTTTTTCTTGTTTGTTTGTTTTTGTTTGTTTGTTTGTTTTTGTTTTTTTGAGACAGGGTTTCTCTGTATAGCCTTGGTTGTCCTGGCCTGGATTTGTAGACTAGGCTGGCCTGGAACTCACAGAGATCTACCTGTCTCTGCCTCCCTGAGTGCACCACCATGCCCAGCTCCTTCTTTGTATTTTTAATTGGCCACTTTCTTTGTAAAATCCTTTAAAGGATTCTGCATCATTGGACGACAGGCACAGAGAAGACTGATTGGCTTCGCCCTGCATTCCAATCTAGAAGTGGGGAAATGCCCTCTCAGTGGTCGGAACTAGAAAGCCTGTTTGGAGTTGTAGCCTAATACTTGCCTCTTAGAAAGGACTTGGTAAACGCTGTTCACCAAAAAATTTCTGTGATGATAGATCGGTTTCTTTTATTCAAGGCATGGGCTCTGTTTCATAGTCAATCTACTCTCCCCATCAGAACACCATGAGTCCCTCAGGTGCGCATTCTATTCTTCTTTGTTCATGCCTCCTCCTCTCTCCCATGTTCCCATCACACCTACCCTCCACCTTGACACCCCTCTGACACCTCTTGGAAGTCAGGATAAGGGACTGTGGTCTCTGTTTCCCTCTTGGGCCTTGACCAAAGTAAAGATCCATGGGCATCTTTACCTCTCCTAGACTGTGCAATGCTGTAGCCCAGATATCTAAGCTCCCTGGCCCAGTGCTCCAGCTCACAGTGGCCTGCTGCCCCAGTCCCACCACTATTTAATGGCTCCATTGGCCTATGCCATCAGGACTTTCTACTCCGCCTCCGCCATGCTTCAGGTCCCTTGTCTATCATCTCACTGTTACCTCCTTACTTCCCCTAAGCTGGTGTGCTATCTCAAAGAGGCTCAAATAAAGGGTTGGTGAGTGCATTGAGCATCTTTCCCCACTTCTTCCAGGGACCCACTTTCCTTTCTAGCCATGGTCCTACATAGCATTAGCTTGGAAAGGTGAGAAAGCGTTTATTAGTTATTTTACAGGGCTAACTATAGGAAAATGTGCTCGATTGTATGTTTTAAAAACATAATTTTAGACCCATGAATACATTAGCTTCACATTTATTAAGTGGCTTAAGAAACTGGGACCTCAATATTTAGACCATGCCATTGTGTTGTTATCATTGTGTGTATGCTCATTTTGTTTTGTTTTGTTTTGTTTGTGTGTATGTATGTGTGTGTGTGTGTATTTTCCTGAGGTTGCTCCAGCAGATTGCCAGAGACTTGGAGTTGTGCAATGGGATGCAGTGGTAGCGTGTTAGCCTCAGATATGAGGCAATGGGTTTGAATGTCAACAAAACAAACAAACAAGCAAACCTTTTAGGCCTTACATGCTACGAATGTGTTCTTGTATAGTTTCATGGGTTGTTGTTACCATTTTGACTGGAGCACTGAGGGAGATGCCATTTCCTTTTCATGTGCAGTTGCAGTCGTAGCCCCAGCTTCCTCTTCCTCCTCTGAGCCAGCAGCACAGCACCTTCTTTCTAGCCTTTCTCTCCAGAATGGCTTCTGCTGTTGTAGCCCCCAAAACTTCATTTCCTTGTTTCCCTGTTGTCTATGTAGAAGCCTGTATGATTGCAATGAGCCCGCCTACGTAATCTCTGTCACCTCAGGACCCACGGCTTTTGCCGATAAGAGGACACATTCTTATTCATTTGGTGAGAGTGTGTGGTAAGAAGTTGAGAGACATGGCCAGACTCCCATTAAGAAATTCGCCTTGTCACACTGAGACCCTTCCAAAAACATGAATATTTAAGTATGTTTTCTGATGTCTGGCTTTATTTCCAGATGCAGAGAGAAATTGTTTATGCAAGAGGAGATGGCCTTGTCACCCCCCGACCAGGATCCACAGCTCACCCACCCCATGCAATTCCAAACTCCCCACCATCCACTCCAGTGCCCCATTCCTTGCCTCCCTCTCCATCCAGAATTCCTTATGGGGGCAGCCGCCCCGTGGCTGTTCCTGGCAATGCCACCATCCCCAGGGACAGACTCTCGAGCCTGCCAGTCTCTAGATCCATCTCACCAAGCCCCAGCGCGATTTTAGAAAGAAGAGACGTCAAGCCGGATGAAGACATGAGCAGCAAAAACCTGGTTATGTTCAGAAATGAGGGCTTCTATGCTGACCCTTACCTGTATCACGAGGGACGCATGAGCATAGCCTCTTCCCATGGAGGCCACCCTTTGGATGTCCCGGATCATGTCATCGCATTTCACCGCACTGCAATCCGGTCAGCAAGTGCTTACTGTAACCCCCCACTGCAAGCAGAAATGCATATGGAACAGTCATTATACAGACAAAAGTCAAGGAAATATCCTGACAGCCATTTGCCTACCTTGGGCTCCAAAACACCCCCGGCCTCTCCGCACCGGGTAGGTGATCTGAGAATGATAGACATGCACCCTCATCTTAACGCACATGGACCCCCTCACACCCTGCAGCCAGACCGGGCCTCACCTAGTCGCCAGTCCTTCAAAAAGGAGCCTGGCACCCTAGTGTATATTGAAAAGCCTCGGAACACTCCAGGATTATCCAGCCTTGTAGACCTGGGGCCTCCTCTAGTTGAGAAGCAAGTTTTTGCTTACAGCACTGCTACGATCCCCAAAGACAGAGAAACCAGGTAAGGCACGGGCAGGGATGCTGAGGGTGGTCTGTGCCAGTGTGTTGCTGGAAGGTGCTTTCTAGATCCCAACGCAGGAAATAAAATTCTGAGCATTAGGGAAAGATGCCCTACCCTGCAGAGTTTGTGAATGAGTGGGGTAACATCATTGAGGTCTACTAGTGACCATATGAAACGAGACGGAAGCACCACAAAGGCCACCATCCCCACCTGCCCTAAACCCTGGCCCTCACAGCATTGTTCCTAAGGTAACTTGGAACTGTTGGGAAGGCCATGGTGATTAATGGAAACTGTGCAGAGTGGGTGGAAGGGCCATACACGTGTCTGCCGTAGCAAATGGATAGTGGCTTACCTGTTGCTCACAGACATTTGAGTTCTGCCAATAGAATGTGATTCTATTTTCTCATCTGGTTTTGGGAAATGGAAAGAATGAGTTTGCATGAACATGAACTGTCTGGCTTTAATACTCACTCAGGAGTTGAGCGGTAATAAGTAGAGTTTTCTAATGAATGAAACACTCTGGGTATTCAGTGTATGTCTGTGTAGATGGGGGGATGTCAGTGATGTGTGTATCAGTATGCAAATTTTATATTCTGAATGTATCTTAAAAAACCCTCCAAAATCTACAAAGTAATAGTTGAAAACCAAATTTTTATAGAAGAAAATTTCCTAGTCTGAATTGATTAAAGAGAATAAAATTAATTATAATCATAAAATTATGATGGAGTGAAGCGAAAGGAGCAATTTATCTATTTCATATAGGTTCAGAAAGGATAACATTAGGAATCAGATATTAAGTTACTCAGAACATTCTTAGAACCATTGTTCCTCACTAAAAATGTTTCCATTGCATACTGTTATATAACCTTAAAAGTCCCAACTTATGAATGGAATGTGAACTGTCTTCCTAACTTACTGTTTTCACACACAAATCAGGCCAAAACCTTGTCGCCTCTAGCAGAATTTTATCATGTGAGGCTGTCCCTATTTGTTCAGTCATAAGCAATCTCAGAGCACAAAGATTTCAGGAGAATAAAACAGGAATAAGCACGAATATTTTGGAGTCATAAATGCAGGGAAAAAATCCAACTCTCACAGTTGGAAAAGCAGCAACAGTTTACTGGCTTGAGGATATAGAACTAAGAAAAACACAGAGCTCTGAGCTAGTGCTGAGCACTTGGTAGATATGCTGACAGATGCACCCCCTGAAATGGTCTGTGGGATGCAGGTTGGGACATGGTGGGTCACGGGGGGCGGGACTAAAAGTATTTAGTGCAGTAAATTCTAAAAAAAAGAATCCGCTTCTCTGGTGTAAGGCTGAGAACTAGAATCCTTCCTCCCCACCTTTTCACCATGCTGCCCCTGCTCCGTATGGGGAGCAGAGGTCCAAAAACTTGACTTACCACCATCACATGGCATTGTTTCCATGCTGGCTTCTGGTTACATCTGTCAACAGAGGAGTCGCCCCTGTCTTAATTACCTCTCTGTTGTTGTGATAAAATACCATGACCAAAAGCAACTAAGAAGACAAAAATCTTTTTTTCACTTGTAGTTATAGAGGGATAGATGTCCGTAATGTTGAGGAAAACATTGTGGCCAGAGGCCAGAGCAGGAGGCTGAAAGATCACATCTTAACTGCACACAGGAAGTAGTATGAGAACTGGAAGTAGGGCCAGTCTGTGAACTCTCAAATCCTGTACCCCAGTTCTACCTCTTCAAGGTTCCCTAACATTCCCCAAAAGTGCTACCAACTAGGAACCAAGTATTCAAATACGTGGGGACATCTGTCATTCAGACCACCACATCCTCCTTCCCAGAACCCACTGTGGTGTCACTGAGGCAAATGCCACGGGTGCCTGGCCCACAGAGCTCCTTAACCCCATCAAGAGATTTGGTGATGGGTATGATAGGGCACTCTGCAGTCCTAGCAATCAAGACACTGAGGCATGGGGATTGCTGCAAGGTCAAAGTCAGACCTGTATTAATAACCCAGTCAAACAAACAAATGACAGCAAAGCCCAGAGGCTGTGCAAGTGTTCGCTGTCTGGCTCCCTGACCAGTGTCTTCAAGGGTATTCACTCTCCATTTGCCAGTGTCCCTGTTGGACTTTCACTCCCTTGTTTAAAAAGATTTGCCAACCTCAATGACTTCATTTTTCTTCTTTATATGGTATAAAACATTTTTATAAAATTCAACCTATTTTATATCTAAAATAGAAAATATTAGAAAAAGAAGAGTGGTCACCTAAAATAGGATCACTGTCATGTTGTGTTATGACAGATGATTATGATGTTGATGATTTCACATTTTTACATTCTTCCCTTTGCCTAATGTGAAATAACAAAGGAAGTTTTTCGTTTGTTTGTTTTTTCACATCCTGCCTAGGTGCATCCTTATTTGTTAATTAACTTATCTCCATAGATTACAGTTGGAGTGTTTGTGTGTTTGTAAGCTAGTTAGTGCCATGCACATACATACTCCTTCTACAGACCTTATATACATACATACACACATTAGACATATAAACGCATATATGCACACATATGTATTTATATATATACTACAGACACATATACATATGCAACAGATATATATGTATGTATATTACATTATATATAATAATATGTAATATATAAATTATATTATAATGTAGAATATATAATATATAATATTATATAGAGAGACACAAACACCCCACAGAGGTACCTCTTCACCTGTTACACCAGACACAGACACACAAAAACACCACAGACATATGCTCTAAATACACACATTCATGTACAAACACTGTCCTAGTTAGATTTCTATTTCTGTGGTAAACACCATGACCAAAAGCAATTTAGAGAAGAAAGTGTTTATTTCATTTTACACTCCCAGGTAACAGTCTATCTCTGAGGGAAGTCAGAACAGAAACTCAAGACAGGAACCTGGAGGTAAAAACTAAAGCAGAGGCCATTAAGGAGTGCTGATTACTGGCTTGCTCTTTCATGCCACCCCATACATCTATCCAGGGACCTTACTGAGCTATCTCACATCAATCACTAATAAAAAAAAATGTCCCACAGGCTTGCATATAGGCCACTATAATGAAGGCATTTTCTCCATTGAGGTCCCCTTTTCCCAAATGATGCTGCCTTGTATCAGGTTAAAAAGGGAAAGGGAAGGGAAGGGGGAAAGAAAGGGAAGAAAAACCTAGCCAGTACACACACACCGAGATACCACACAGGAATGCACACCCACATCCACATTCATTCAAACACAGCACACCATCCAGGTGTATATGTGTCTGTGCACCAGCTCCACTCTGAGCCTCTGCTAATGAGAGGCCTCTTTCCTGTCCTCACTGATTCCTAACAGATGTCATAAACAGAGAAATGCAGCCGCAGCTAAAATGCAGCACGTTCACATTTGTCAAATACGGGGACCTCTTTGAAACAAGCACTGCCTTAAGTACCCTCATAGATCATGGGATAGAACTATCAGAACACCTGCTAAGATACATGTTGGCTCTACTTCATTTTATAGATTCAGAAACTGAGGGGTGGGAAGGTTAAGTTGCTGTAAAATGGCTCAGTATAATAAAGGGTCTATACCTTTTATCACATATGTTGGCACAAATCTGTAATCCCAATAGACAGGGCTTACAAGGTCAGGACTAGCCCAGGCTAGGTAGGGAAACCCTATCTTAAGTAATGAGGAAATAGCTCAGTAGTGAAGTTCTTGCTTAGCACGTGCAAAGCTCTGGGTCCCATCCTCATCACAAGAGGAAGGAAGAAATACTGTATTTACTGGTGCATAATCTGACTAGAGTAACCATGCCTGACAGAACCACCCACCTTCCCGTAGCAGAAAGGCAGAGAAGAGTGAATTCTGAACATTGCAACCAGAATCCTTCAGAAATCATTTTAGGACTGAGTACTAAGTACCTGCTCCCGAAGGACAGTCACAGTCATAAACACAGCAGAATTTACATAATTCCACTGCTAAATATATGCATGCCATTTAAAGCATAACTGCCCTAGCTGCTATATTAGCACAATTACACGGAAATGGGAAAAGGAAAGAGCATTCTGGTTAGAATTTATTTTTTTAAATGCATCTGAATACTGTGTCAAAGAAAACAAATATAAAAGACAAACAACAGGAACAATTTCCAAAGTGCAAAATTAAATGCCATGCTCTCACTTAGCTCATGATGTTATTTTAGAAATATTTAATCAGGGTAATATTTTTAAAAACTGTTCAGCCCCTCAAAGTCTAACTTCCGGAGTGTGGGATATAAAATGCCGAGCCGATTTCTGCTGTGGTTTCATAATATTAAAAGTAAATAAACAAGAGTGCTTTTTCTGTGCAGTTTGATTCAAAGGAAGAATTTACATTTGAAATGTGACAAACACAGGGGCCAGAGCTTCAGGGAGCATCTTTCTCCTGAACGCCCACAGGACTCTCACACAGTTCCTAGAAGCACTTCAGCGTAATAGCCCAAATAGCTGCAGGACATTAGAAATCAGAGAGAAGACTCTTTCCTTTCACACATGTGCTAGGAGAGGTCCATTGGCAGCCCGTTTGAAGGAACATGATTCTATAACAGCTCTGTTGACATAGAAATGAAGTACTGGACACTCAGTCATTTAATCTCCATTCTTATACTCAGACATGTGCCTCATTCTCATGGAGTTAGCATCACTTTTCTTTTTGAAGACACTTCAGTATCTATCCAGTGAAGGTCAGCATGTATGATGTAATCTATCTAATGATAGTGTTCTCCTTCAAGGATCCCATGAATGTCTGAGTTTTCTCATAACAACCCTCTATATCTTCTTGAAGGAAGATTATCATGTATACTTTGGTGGTTTTGCCCAGACAACTCCTTCTACTGGGACTCCAAAAAGGAAAATAGATTCAAGCAGCTGTAAGAGACTTGTGAGGGAGACAGTGTGGGACCGATAGAGTGCACAGCTGCTTCCAATGGCTTCCCTTGGTTATAAAACGACTACATT